GGCATCAATGAAATCCATCTGTTTTCTTTTTAAAAAATTTGTATGTTTTGCTCTTCCCTACTGCTGCAAATGCTGTAGTACGATCTAACAGCTCTCAATTTTCATTAATATTGCTTCTGGTTAATTGTCATAATCCTCCATTCTGAATTTATGAGGGTGATCAATTTAAAGTGCTATTTAATGAGAATACTATTCTGGAACTTAAAATGCATACAAAATTTAAAAAATGCAAAGTATAAAATGATAGGCATAAAGAACAATAATTAATTTTATAATTTCATTTGGAAAAAAAAAAGTCTATCTTCCTGATTACTATAAACTAAATACGTACATACAATTCTTTTTAAATAAATGTATCTGAGTGGTCTTCAATCTTGAGTGTCAACTGATTTGGTCTATCTGTCCTGTTACAAAATCTAGTCAATAGAGCATTTCTACGCATATTTGACTAATAGCAAATTTTGGGCATTTTCTACATGGTTGTTCCTAATTTGTGAATAGAGTAAAGCAGTGACATAACTGCCATAATGTATTGAGTACTGACTTCTAAAATCAAACCTATCTAAACAACACAGTAAGAGCTTTATACAATACCATCATACTGTAGAAGAGTGAGGATCAAATTGCCTCATTAAGTTAGTTTAAGAAAAATCAAAAAAAGGTTCCATTGACATTTAAAATTACATTCTTAGTGAAAGTTAATATAAGAGGAATCAGCAGTTTAATCAAATAAGTATTTCCTTCCTTAGACAGCAAGTATAAAAACAATGAAAAATTGTTAACTGAAGCTTTGTTGCATTTTCATAATTATGCTTTTCTGCATTTTCTAAGTATTTGCCAAAGGAACCTGATTATTATGTTCTTTTACATTGGCTTTTTACATAGATCATATGTACAAGATCAAAAATAAAATAAAATAAGAGGCAATTAAAATTATTGACTTTATCATTTTCCTGGTTAGTTATTATTGTTTCTTTTCTTTTTCTTTTCTTTTTTTTTTTTGAGATGGAGTCTCACTCTGTCAGATAGGCTGGAGTGCAGTGGTGTGATCTCAGCTCACTGCAACCTCTGCCTCCTGGGTTCAAGTGATTTTCCTGCCTCAGCCTCCTGAGCAGCTGGGACTACAGGCCTGAGACATCATGACTAATTTTTGTATTTTTAATGGAGATGGGGTTTCACCATATTGGCCAGGCTGGTCTCAAACTCTTGACCTCGTGATCCACCCGCTTCAGCCTCCCGAAGTGCTGGGATTACAGGCGTGAGCCACTGTGCCCGGCCTTGGTTAGTTATTTTTATTAATTACAGTTGTTAACTGATATTCACAGAGGATTGATTCCAGGAAATTCATCAGATAGTTGTTATACTGTATTGTTCTTTATTGTATGTTTTCATTGTTGTATTGTTAATTTTATTGCTATTTTTTTAAAAAAATTTTTTTCCATCCAAATTGGTTGAAAACACAAGTGTAAGACCATGGATATGAAGAGCTGACTGTGCTTGCATTTTTTTTTTCTTTTTCTTTTTTTTTCATTTTGATACGGGGTCTCCCTCTGTCACCCAAGCTGACATGCAGTGATGTGATCGCAGCCTCTCACTGCAGTCCCCAACTCATGGGCTCAAGCA